CATTATTTTCTATTATATTTTACTTTAAAAGATTAATCCATTTCTCATTAATCAACTGTATATATTTGAAGAATAAAGTATTATTCATATTTATATATGCTTATTTTAAAGATGTGCATTAAATTTGATCTAACAATATATTTTTAGAATTGAAATGCCATTTCATATTTTCTCATTTTAAAATGCTTCAACTGGACAGGGTCCTAGACCTAAGAGCAGAAAAAGGACATATCCACTTCAATCAAGAAGCAATCTGTAATTGAGAACAACTAGCAAAGAAAAAAATTAATTCCCACCAATGGGGCCTACAGGGGCATATTAATCATATTTTAGGGAAGACTTGATGCCTGGAAGTACATGGCTAACAAAAAAAATCAACTAATTTTTATAAACATTTTGTTTCACATTGCTTTGTTAGGGAATTTATTAGTTTTTTGGCTTGTATATTTTGGTTTCCATTTTTTTATTTTTGTGTATTTGGTATGTTTTTGCTATTTTTTGTTTTTTTCTTCTTGTTCATCATATATATATATTATATATTAAATATATATTACATAATATATATATATATATATATGTATGTATGTATATGTAGTTGGCTGGGTGGGTACCTGGGGAATATATAAGAGGAGTTCATGGAGTTTGGGAGTGGACAAGCAACTTAGAGAGGGGCATGGGAGAAGTTGAGGGAGGAAGGGTGGGATTAGATAGGGAGAAGGGAGAGGGCTACAGCCGGGATAGAAATTAAATAAACTGTAATTAATATAATAACATTTTAAAAAAAGAATATCATCTGAAATTATTTTTTCAATTAAAAAATAATACAAATACTTTGTCAAATAAAAGTGATTTTAACAAATTAAAAATGGTAAACAACTGACATTGCCAAAAAAATTTATGAGCTTACTCAAACCAAATCTAAGAACATATAAAAGGTATCCACCATGACCAAGTAAGCATCATATGAGGCAGGCAGGGGTTGTTCAATATAAGGATATTCATCAATAAAATCCACCATATAAACAATCAGAAAGAAAAAAAAAAAAACAAACAAATGGTCGTCTCCTTCGATGCTAAAAAAGTACTTGACAAAATCCAGTACCCATTCATTTTTAAAATCTTGGAGAGATCAGAGATACAATGCACATACTAAACATAATAAGAGCAATATACAACAGGCCTATAGCCAACATTAAACTAAATGGAGAGAAACTTAAATCAATCCCACTGAAATCAGTGACAAGGCAAGAATGCCCATTTTCTGTGTATCTCTTCAACATAGTACTGGAGCAATAAGACAACTAAAGGAGATAAAGGGATACAAATTGGAAAGGAAGAAGTCAAAGTAACACTATTTGCAGATGATATGATTGGATACTTGGGTGACCCTCAAAATTCTACCAGAGAACTCCTTCAGCTAATAAATGCATTCAGCAAAGTGGCTAGATACAAAATTAACTTTTAAAAAAAAATCAGTAGTCCTCCTGTATACAAAAGGCAACTGGACTGAGAGAGAAATTAGGGAAACAATACCCTTTACAATAGCCACTAATAACAGAAAGTTCTTTGGTGGTACTCTAATCAAGAAAGTCAAAGACCTGTTTCAAAAAAAAATCTTCAAGTCTCTGAAGAAAGAAATTGAAGAAGATACCAGAAGATAGAAAGATATTTCATGCTCATGGGTCAGTAGAATTAACCTAGTGAAAATGGCCATCCTACCAAAAGCAATCTACAGATTCAATGTAATTCCCATCAATATACTAACACGATTCTTTACAGAACTTGAAAGAACAATTCTCAACTTCACATGGAAAAACAAAAGACCCAGAATTGTTAAAACAGTTCTGTACAACAACAGATCATCTGGAGGTATCTCCTTCCCTGACCTCAAGCTGTAGTATAGAGAAAAAGAAATAAAAGGTTCATGGTACAGGCAGAGAAACTGGAGGATCAATGTACTGGAATAGAAGACCTAGAAATAAGCCCATCAACCTATGGATAGTTGATTTTTTTTTTGACAAAGAAACCAAAACCATACAATGGAAAAAAGACAGCATCTTCAACAAATGGTGCTGATCTACCTGGATGTCTACATGCAGAAAAATGAAAACAGATCCATATTTATCATTCTGCACAAAACTAAACTGCAAGTAGATTAAAGACCTCGGGATAAAACCAGACACACTAAGCTTCTTAGAAGAAAAAGTGGGGAAGATCCTTCAACTCATTTGCACAGGAGACAACTTCCTGAACAGACCACCAACACAGGCTCTAAGAGCAACAATCAATAAAAGGGACCTTATGAAACTGAAAAGCTTCTGTAAAGCAAACGACACTGTAGTCAGAACAAAACAACAGCCTACAGACTGGGAAAGGATCTTCACCAACCCTATATCTGACAGAGGGCTGATATCCAGAATATATAAAGAACTTAAGAAGTTAAAAGTAGGACACAGAGCTAAACAAAGAATTCTCAATAGAGGAATACTGAATGGTGGAGAAACACTGAAAGAAATGTTCAACCTCTTTATTTATCAGGGAAATTAAAATCAAAACAACCCTGAGATTTCACCTTACACCCATCAGAATGGCTAAGATAAAAATCTCAAGTGACAATACATGCTGGAGAGGGTGTGGAGAAAGAGGAACCCTCCTCCATTGATGTTGGAAATTTAATCATATACTACCGCTTTGGAAATTAATCTGGCACTTTCTCCGAAAATTGTGAATAGTGGTACCTCAAGATCCAGCTACACCACTCCTCTGTATATATCCAAATTATGCTCAACTACAGAACAAGGATATTTGCTCAACTATATTCATAGCAGCTCTTCTTGTAACAGCCAGAATTTGGACACAATTTAGATATTCCTCAACGGAGGAATGGATACAGAAATTGTGGTATATTTACACAATGGAATACTACTCAGCAATTAAAAACAAGAAAATCATGAAATTTGCAGGCGAATGGTGGGAACCATTAAAGATCATGTTGAGGGAGATAACCCAGAAGCAGAAAGACACATGGAATATACCCAATTATGAGTGGATATTAGACATATAATATAGGATAGACATACTAAAATCTATACTCCTTAAGAACCTAAACAACAAGGATGACCCTAGGAAGATGTTCAAGCCTCATTCAGAAGTACAAACTTGATAGACATAGGAAACAGGAGAAGACAGTGAACAGGACAGGAGCCTACCACAGAGGACCTCTTTGTATGTTACTACTTTGCACAAATAATTGTTCATTTCATAGTATAATATCACCCTTAGTATAATGTATGTCTTGCTACCCCATGTCTAGTATTTATGCATGTTTTTACTTTGCAACATTTTTGAAAATGAATATAATTGCAGTCTTGATAAATGGTTTTAGGTTATTGATATTTTTATTTTCTTAGTTTGGCATTTATCAAAATAAATGTCTCAGATTGTATCTAGCTGTAATAAAGCATTGGGATATCTATTCATTTGTTTATTATAACAGTCTGTATATTATATTAAGGTGTAACTTTATATTTAAGTAACCACTTTGTACAAATAATTATTCATTAGATTTTGGACTATTAATCTATCTTAAGTTATTATTTTAAATTTATGTGCATAAAATGATATTTTTAATTTATATTCAAATATTCAAATTGGATGTGCAAACTTTCTACGCTATTTAAATAAATTTTCCCAGTATTGTTAAGTTTACAGTGAGAAAGGAACATGCAATAATCACACTGTTTTGTTATTTGAAAAAAATTGTGTTAAAAAATAGTTCACTTCAATTTTAGCTCATTACCAGAGTAAGTTATTGTCATGACTTTTAATCACATTTTATTATTATATAATATTTTACAGAATATGTACTAAATACAATTTATTTAGTACAAAATATGGGGTCTTTCAAGCATGGTCTGCCCCCTCCTATACCCACCCCAGGCCTACACAGCACTGGACTGGTAGTTGGGCTTTAGGCCGGAGACAAGTGGCTGAGGTGCCTTTTATCCAGGTTTTCCCTGCATCCCTCACTCCCTGCCTGTTACAGGGCATGGCTGTCATATTCCCCACTCTCTATACCTATACCAAACTTTCCAGCCCAGAGGCAGGGACTTCCCCTCTTTAAGAGGTTCTTTACTATATAATCTACACATTTTGGTTCTCTTCTCTCTCAGTCTGTCTCTCTCAGTGGGTAGGAACTTTCTCTTTCTCCCCCTGTTTTTCTGTTTCCCCCTGCATGACACCTTTGCTGGCCTCATTCCTTGGGAGAAGTGAATCCACCAAGAGCTACTTCCAATAAATGTGCATGTATATACTTTTAACTTGTCTTGAGTTGGCTCATTTCATCAGTGGAGAGACCGTATTAGTGGTCATCTCAGGCTTGCTCCTAGTTTGGCCCACTGGAGTGGCCCTATGCTGACTTCTGCCCAAGGGCCCATGGAACCAGGGAGGATTCTTCTAATTGATAGGTGTTTTCCACCAAAGAGCCAGTTCAAGCCGAATTAAAGTACAAAGACAGGTGTATTGGGGGCAACTATTGGGCAGGTTTACCAGTTCCAATGAAGGGGATCAGAGAACTTACCATGCTGAGAAAGTAAAAAAGGCAGGAGACAAAAAGTACATGTGGGAGGCTATCATCAGGATGTAAAGTAGATAGATAGATAGATAGATAGATAGATAGATAGATAGATAGATAG